ATATACAACCAAAAACAATGAACGCGGCATAATCTGTTTCGTAACTCTTGTAAAAAAAATTACATAATAATTCCTGGAACATCTATTAAGACTAGCGAAAAGGGGAAATAATCAATATCTTAATATAAATATGTATATGTCTACACATTTTATTATAAATATCAAAACAAATCAATAATTACTTTAGAATCTAATAAAGTAGCTTAACACTATTCGATTTTACAAAAATAATTTGTCTACAATCAGAATTAAATATATTGTCATTATAAATGCTAAAGTATTACAGCATAATGAAAGTTTTTAAAATCAGAGTTGGTATAAAAGCCAGCTTTTCAATGAAGAGGTAAAACATTCGTAATAATAGCCTACATAGAACTAAAATATCGGTCTTACATTTCAGATCATGCACTTTTTAATTAGCTACTGACTTTTTGTGTTCTTTAAAGATAATTTTTTAACATAATGAGAAGGTGTGGTTAGATCACTGTATTGCTCACACACCTTTTACTGGTAATTGCAAAAACAATATTCACAGAGATTTACGTTTCAAATGTGCCGACCAAAGATAATTTTTTAACAAATATCAATGTTTAAATAGGTAGTCCAAACTGGCGAAAAAGTGCGTTTTAGGGTCAGTTTTTGCGGTTTTCAAAAATAAAATTTCACTACTTCTAGTTGTCCTATAAGAATAAAAATTATATGTCAACAAAGTTTAAGCCTTTATCTGTCGTAATCTGGTATTTTTATATCTGTAACACATGTTTGAATGTGTTTTATAATTGTTTGAAAAGTATCAGTTACGTCAACAAATTTCACCGTTTTGCGTGTACCGATCGACCCCACACTGTTTCATTTGGTTGCGGCTTCGCGATGAAGCATCGTAGAAGCATAATCTTAATGTCATTTTAAAGAGCAAATTCTAGTCTATCGTTTGATGTATAAATTGAAAAAATAACTTGCTTATTTCATTTAAAAGAATCAGTTTTTAAACTTTAAATGACGATATATACACGAAAACAAACTAATTCTGTTTCAATCTTTACACCGATGTAAAGTTCACTTTTATAACTACTTTGTGTTGTAAATTCAAGTCTTTCTGATTTACGGTCACGAAGCCGTACCCTCAATAAGCATATAACCCTCGAGTCAACTCTCAGCCCCGAGTCAGTTGCTCGCCGAACGGTTTTAAAGGTTGACGACCGATGATGCTAAACGGATTTTACCCTTGCTAGAGCGTTCAAACAAGTTGTAAGTATCATTTTTAAAGTTTCATTTCCATTTTAATAAATGAATTTTAAGTTTGAATGTCAGTTTGGTTTAATTAGCACACGTTATTAATGTAAATTTGAACCCTACTAGTCCACGGTTTTAGGTCGTGAACTACGCTTGTACACATGGTGTGTTTAAACGTGAAGCTATTTAATTCAGGACATTCTAGGGACTTAAAATATGGATGCACTTAACTATTAGATGCTAGTGTTTACTAATTCTTTAAAATCTATCGAATGGGATTAATGATATGGTCGTATTACTACAGTTTATCTGGACTATCGCGTCAAAATTATGAATCGACAAATTCAAAATGGCCACCAGACATTCTTGGTTACTATGTGGACGAACTCAATTATTTACAGGGAACGAAGGTTAAATACTTATAAAATATTATTGAAACACAAAAGAAACTTATAATTGTAATAACTATACATTTTTATCAATTTATTTAAAACAAAAGACACTAAATTTTAAGGACTGATGTGATTAATTTTTAATTTTCTGTTGTGCACTTTGATTCTGATTCCCCTGCTGAATAATGTGAAATGGTCTGCGCCAGTCTCCTTGATAAAATGTACCAGATCAATTTTTAGATGGTGGTGCAATTTAATAAGATTGTACATGTTGTGACTTAGTTTTAAATGTTATATTAGTTGTAAGTGTAAGTAGTACTAGTAGTATTTCTCATTATTTATTTATTTTATATGTATATAGTAACACTGAAGGACAGTTAAGTTGTCCTATATGATGTTGAGAACCACAGTATGGCATCTTCATCATTGGATATCTCAACCATTGTGGCACAAACAACGAATATTTCATTTAATAGAATTAATGTTCAAAATATACTATCAAGTATAAATTTCTTTAAACAAAAAGGTGTTTTCAGGCTTTTTCATGTTTCCAGCTACAGTCACAGGATAAATAGTAGGCCTACACAATAGGCTAGTAGTAAATCTAATTATATTTTATTAATCACTAAATCAATTATTTATTCCATAGCTGGAGACATTTATGGTGGCCTATCCAGAACTTTCCTTACAAGGGAAGGGAAGAAGGCCAAGCCCCCCCCCCAACTACAGTTCCCAAAACATATCACTTACTCTTGATGCTCCACAAGATCAAGGTTGGGGGAAACAAGACATACAAAGATGTGGAGTTGTCGTTTTAAAAACTGTTCCCCCAAAGCAGTTATCAACCCAATAGGTTTGAATGTAGCAGCAACTGCTGCATTACTTGTAGGCATCACGTCTTTATTAGATTACATTACATTACTCCACTAAATTTTGATTATGTTTCTCCTGCTCTAGATAACTGTGGCATTTTTTAAAAATAATATTTTAACTCATGTGATTTTTGAAAATAATGAACACATTATTCCTGTTAATGTTACCAACAAAATAGTTTAAGAGTTATTCTATGTCCAAAGCAAAAAAAAAAATAAAAATAAAAAAAAAAATTATGAAAATAAAAGTGACCAAAACGCATTTTTGTCATTTTCAATTATTTTTTTTTACCTTAGAAAGACTCATTTTAGATAACTGAAAAAAATTGGGCATATATATTACAAACTTTGCAGTAACTTTACCAATTTCTACACTTCTATGTTATTTAGTTTAGAAAATATGGGTTCTCAAAAATGGCACTTTTTAAAAATCAGTTTTTTACCAAATTTTGCTTTTTTAAAAATCGCATAACTTTTTCATTTATTAAGATATTTTTATAAAATTTGTGGCATAGAGCTTACAATTAAAAGTTCTTTCATGACATACTCACTCCAGAAGTCTGCAATCAATAGTTAATTTCAGTTTGGACTACCTAGTTTAAAACTTAGAGTTTAAAAAGTTTCCAAAAAGGCGCCACTTGGCTAAAAATGGCCAGAGGGGTAGCGGCAGCTTCCCCCCCCCCCCCCCCCTGCGTACGCTCTTGCTTAAGTGTAGTTTTTGCGTAACTCTTGCTAGATCTAGAATCTAGATCTAATCATTAGCTACGCTAATAGGCCCTGGATCAAGCATTTCAAAATTAGCATATTCCAAACAAAGATTTATATAAAATAATAAAGGTCTAAAATAGTTTAGTATATAGAAACTCATTATTATCTAAATCTAGATAGAAAATTATCTATATTTTAGATCTACGACTGAGCTGTATCTAGAATTTACGTTTATAATTTTGCAAAATTAGCGGTATAGAAGCCGCATATGAATCTTAAGCTACGCAAATAGGCCCTGGGTCGAGCATTTCTAAATTAGCATATTCCAAACAAAGATTTATATAAAATAATAAAGGTCTAAAATAGTTTAATATATAGAAACTCATTATTATCTAAATCTAGATAGAATTATCTATATTCTAGATCTACGACTGGTTTGCTTAAATCTAGTAAAGTTTTTTTTTTTTGGATTGTATTTATAACTAATAAATCTTTGTTTTGACCTACATTCTAGATCTAGATCTATAAATAAATTTCTTGGACAGATTGTAGAGCAAGAGAAATTTATTGTAAAACTAAATGAAAAAGACAGTTGAAAATTTATATATCGTATTAAAACAGTTATCGAGAGTAATTCATATTGAAAGTCTCCTAGAAAATCTTTTTTTAGTGCTTATTAATTTCCATACTAATATCGGCTTTTTAATATATGGGGGTCGCGGGTCACTTACTTTTTATAAAAGAGGGTCGCCTCTCGAAAAAGTTTGGGAACCACTGTTATAAAGAGTCAGAGATTGCAGGCAGTCATGCATCTTTTTTAAAATTGAAGATGCTTTAGACCGACATTTTTATGTCATTTGTGGCTGTCTAGCTATCAACGACTATGTGGGTTCGGGTAAATTCGGCTAATCAACGTGACGTCATATTACTTTTACTCAACTTTACGCTGCATGTGTTCATAACAAACCACCTATCCCCCCTTTTTTTGTGGTCGCGCTGTCCGTTCGACCAAGCGAGCATATTATACACGCGCTGATATTTAAATATCTTCTTAAACGTGGTTCATTTACTTAAAAAAAAAATGACTGACACAAAATAGTAATGTAGGCCTACTATGATTTAGTTACAATTGTTTGTAATAAACTTAAAATACCATTAATTGTTTTAGAAAACTGCCGCGGTCACTTCCCCATCCCCTCCCGCTTGTAAAAAAAAAATATCGCATTTTTCTTAGGCGGGTGTATCACGGATATTTACCACGAGAACTGCTGATTTAATGTATAATCTGCATTTTATATGCATTATTAAAATTAATTTTTTACACTATCAAATTTAAGTTTTTTTTTGTGGACGTCCACATTGACCCGACCCCACAAAAGTCAATTGTTTTCGGCCCTCAGTATGGACGGCATTAATAGATTATTCCCCCTTAGTTCGCCCCGGGCGCCGAAATGGGTCGCTATGCCTCTGCGTCAGTCAGCTAACAATTTTAATTGGTTTCTGGATACTGTTTTAAGATTTATTTGATGTAAAAATTGTGAAAATTATACAATATAAAATTAATCATAATGCTATCTTATTGTGCGGAAGTCTATATAATTATGTTGTGAGAATCCGATATTTTTCTTTAAAGCAGCTCTCAGACAAAGGCTGGACAACCCTGCATTAAATTTAAAGAATGAGACGTGTTATTTAGTTTACCGAATACTTCCGAACTTCCTCACAAAATATGATTTGAAGCACACCACTGACATATTCAAACATATATGTTTAATTACTTTAAACACAAGAATAATTATGAGGATTTGAAAAGCTTATATTTTGAAAAAAAAAGATCCATTTTGTGTACATAATATTAAAATGTCACAGAATTAAGAATAAATAATCTGTCTTCCTCCTTCTTGATCCATCTCAAAAGTTTGTTGACAGCGTGTATGGCACTTATTTTAGTAACCAACGGGCCAAAAACGGCATACAGTTCAAAGCCTTGAGTGATCTATTTGGAAAAAAAATAAATATTTAATTGGACTACAACCTATTACATTTTTTCAATCACTGCATTGATAAACTAATATATTATTGATTTAAAATGAAGTCATACACGAAATGCAAATAGTAGACACCAAATGTATAAGCCTAACAATAAGTTTTATTAATTATTGAGATGTATCATGTAACCGCCCGCCTTGGAAAAAAAACGGACATTTTTAAAAAAGCTGTGAACCATAAAAAAACTCTTATTCGGTTGCATAATTTAAGGTTATTTAGCGCCATGGGCAAACCTTAATAAAGCCTCTCTCTGTCCCCACCCCCCGCAATTTTTTTCGGCTCTCATATTATATAGAATATTTAGTTATATATATACATATATATATATATTAGTAGACTGACTCTAAATTTTAAATTAAACCATTTAACATATTTCCTTGCAAAGTATATCCATCACGAGACAACAAACCACACAGAGATAGGCTTAAACTCATTTCTGGTTTGAAATAATCGAATTTTAAAATTTCTCATTTATGCCCAACTAAAATAATAGCGTAGGCCTACCTTCTTTTCTGGCAATTCGGTCAAAAGAATATGAAACAAGGAAACTTGATATGTGTAATGGTTTCCCGTGTAATGATTTTTTTCCATTTCTATTATTAATTTTAAATTATTTCCTTTTCATACTTTAGCTATTTTTCAGGATGCTTTATCTTAATAATAATAATTAAGAAAAGGAATCTTATATATATATATATATATATATTTCTCTTCTGGGAGACGCTAGAAAACAAGCTGTAAGCGCGCTCCCTACCACCCCAACCCTACATGGTCTGGTGAGCTGTGGTTCACGCTAAATGTGTACGATCGTAGAGCCGTGTTTAGTGACGGCTATTATGGGCAGATAATTTATTTACGATTTTAAACTTAGGGGAGGTAACTAAGAGGGGGCTGCTTTCACGGGGGGGGGGGGTGTTATCGTCTTTAACGAGCTACTGACAGTGTTTTAAAATATATTCAGTGGCAGTATTGGTACTGTCAATTCAAAAATTATGAATTACTGAAAAGTAGAAAATAAAACAACTATATAGCGTTGTATGATACGCCGTGGGTCGGCTCGTATCGTTTTAATTTGCTTTGTACAAAAACCAGTTACATTTGCTTTATGGGCACCCCTATTAGACTATTAAAAGAGGTGCGATAAGTCATTGACGTGTTTTGAGGGTTAGCCTATCTTTCACACTACAGCTCGTGAGTTTTCTTTGTCTATCTAATCTATGCAACAGTGAGTGTTAGTTACTGAAGAACAATCAGCACTGCAGTCGGGGTCTAGCGGTATAGTAGTTCCGCCCCTGCTGTAATAAATTTCACTTTTGAAAAACTGCAGTCTTTACTAGCCACGGACACTGGAAATGTAATATTCTCAAGGAAACAGCAACATTTGGTACACACTTTTCCAATTTTGGTTGGACTATGTAGAGAAGCAGATCTTATGGTGGCAACTGCTTAGGAAGCTATTATTTGAAGCTCATTGCAAAGATATAAGCATCAACATCTTTATTAGTTTTATGCGTCAACGGCGTTTCTAAATGTGGGGCGGCCGTCTATGGCGCCGACCAAAATGGGGCGCCAAACGAATAATATAAAAAGCTCATTACCTAACTATATACAGTTGAAGTAAAGAGCATAGACTGGTTTTTTTATATTACGGATTTATTTAATTATTTTCTACATCAAGTGACTGGTAAAAAGCGCCCCGACCTTTTCAAATGAGGGAGTTGAGGGCGTATTTTCACCAACGCGAATAACTACATAACACTAACAGACCTAATTTGGGGAGGTGACGTAAAATCGATCATTCGCCCTGGGTGCCGAATAGATCGCTACTCCTTTTTAGATAACATTCTCTTTTGATTATTGTAATCAAAGTTATTAATTATAAGTACTTTTAAAAGAACTTTTAAAAAAGTTCTCTGAATTATTCATACATTTTAAATTCATTGTAAATATTAGAGCATAATAATTATGAAAGGTGGAATTTATGACGAACTATAATAATTTATCAAAGGATTTTTAAAAATGTATAACTAGCATACGTAAATTCTTTTTGTTACAAAAGCCTTAAGATCTAAATGAATTAATGTTCTTCAAATTCGTTTATTTTTATACTTAACTAAGGCTTTTAAGGTCATTTATAAGAATATAAATAAACCGGGAGTGATCTCCCCTAAACTTTCTCGAATATTCTTATATAAAACAACAGGGGATGGGAACTCGGGATATAGTTATGATTTTTAATCCATTTTAATACTTAAACTTTTTAAAATAGAATCCCATAGAAAAAAGAATTGCGCACCAAGCGAACGCCGAATAAAGATGTGTATAATAGTGCGGAATATTATTAGTACTTTATAAATTCACATGCGTTTTTTGAGAAATCGGAAAGAGTGAAAATTACTACTTCCGGTCAACGGAAATTACTCAAAATTTGACAGAAGGCAAAAAATTAGATATTTTACTTACATCTGAAATAGTACTCAAGTTATAGGCTTTTGAAAAATTCTAAGTAGAAAAAGTTCCACTTCCGGTTATCGGAAATCGCTCAAAAGTTGATAAGGATCTACGATTTTGATATAATACTTATATATGAAATTTCATCAACCTAGCTGTAACGGTACTCAAGTTATCGTGTTTACACACACACACACATAGACATACGGATAAGACTGCAAAACTTATGTTTTTCCGACTCAGGGAGGTGTAAAACGTCGAGATTTGTAAAAATCTCGATTTTTTTTTGCACGATTACAATACTTTCTCTATACTTCGTATATACGACAAAGTAAAAATGTTAACTTTTAGTTTTAGTTTGTTTTTATATATGATCTTGCAAGCTTGATAAATAGATCTAATGAAACATTTATTTTTTAAAATCAACTAACATCTTTATTAAAGCCTGATCATTAGACAACGATGATAATCACCAAAGTATTCACTATTAATAAATAATAACTGACTTTGTACTGGTTTACTTTGATTGTATACAAAATCTTATGCCAATTCAAAACAAAATTTCTGAATATGGTTAGTTGGAAAGTTAGGAGAGTTGAGCCAGCCTGCAAAACTAATAGTTTTATTTATGTAAAGGCATTGTGTACAAATTATAACAGACTAGCCGCCTCGGCCAGGCTCTGCATTGGTTTTTGTGAACACTTATCTGTTAAAAGAACAAACACATAAACACAAACCCCAATCACAACAATGAACCCTCTCCACACTCACGTCTACGCCTAAAACTAAAACAAGTTAATTAAAAAGTCTAGTGACATTTAAGCGCAATTTCCTTATGTTATCTAAAAATAGCTCTGTCGTAGCGTAAATCAAGAGCAGGGTTAGTAAAACCATTGGTTAGTTATTAAAACGTTTTTTCTTAATTTTTTTCCCCAGTATTTTACATGTTTTATTTACAATAGTTACATGACTAAAAACCATTGCGCGCCTAGCTACCGAACGTGATGTCGCAGCCATTGATTCTCATTGAACGTGATGACGCGTGTGGTGTGGTTGGATAAAAATGCCTACTAATTCGGGCCAAATTTTAATTAATTCAAAAATTTTGTTGTGACCGAACGAAAGGATATTTTTGAAAACTTTCTTCGGCAATATTGTTCTAAATTATGGCAGGAATCGATTGGTACATGTTTCAAGTCGCTAAGTGGTCTGGTTGCCGAGATACGGGCCAAAAACTGCATTTTTTTTTGAGGTTTTTTGGCTTTTCCGGGAAATCCATGAAAGAAACCCGGAATTTTTTGGCCTATGTTCATCCTCGTAACTTGCTTAACATAATTGCTTTTGGAACTAGTCCTCGATATTGCTTTGTTGAGGAGGAGATACGACTTAAAGCTGCGGACACATATCCATCTATCCATCCATAAATGACGAGTTAATAAACGCAATTCTCCAGAATGGAAATTGCGCTAAAAATAAACCTTAACTCTCACCACAACCTTAAAACATAAACCCCTATATCAACACATTCATATACCTAGATATAACCTATTTCTAACATATCCTTGCGCTATCCCCATCCGGGTCTCTATAACAAAATGAACGGCGAGTAATTTATTGGTTGTGATGTCCTACTGCAACTGCTTGGGCGAAGTGTACAGGGAGATAATTAATTGGGTGGGGGTGGGAAATGACCGGGAGTACTTAACAGCTTGTTGGTGTCAACCTTCGAACATGTTCTTTTTTTCCCTTTGCGCGCGTCATACGACAGAAAATTGACCACATCATTTCCAAGAATATGATGCCAATAATAGATCACCACTTAACTCTAACCCCCGTTCAAATTAACAGACCACTATCTTTTTGTTTAACGTAACCTAATTCGTAGCACGTTACTAATGTTTTTGACATACATTAACATTTAACACAACACAAATTACAAACTACCCGTAGCTATTATTACGCACATTCATTCAAATAATTAAACTATATTACACCCACCGATATGGGACGGAGTGGTCTAGCGGTAGAGAGCTGGACTGCTAACTCATAAGTCTCGAGTTCGAATCCGGGTTCAAGTCAGTAGACCGTCCCTGAGTCCACCCAACTCTGATGGTACCTAACTGACGTTAGGGAGAGTAAAGGCGGCTAGGCATAGTGCTGACCACACTATCTCTTCATATGCCGAGGTCACAGAAACAAGTGAACTCTACTTGACTTGCCCTATAGACCGTCAGGTTTGAAAGGGAAACTACTTTTTACTTTACACCAGGGGTTCCCAACCCTGTGCCCGCCTCTCACTATTCGACAGATAGAATTTTTTTCATAAACATTATTTTAACATATGATTTATTTTTATTTATTTGTTACAGTTTTCATTTTTTTTGACTGCCTAGGTTTATTAAAATGTTTGATACTTGTCCCAACTTGTCTAGCGGCGAGCCAGACTGCACTATTTACGCTAGCCTGGAACGGCTAGTGCCATTTGAATCATTTTTC